GCAGAAGACGTCACGCAAATAATACCAATTTTAAAACGACGTCTTCTGCGCCTGACTCCTATTGCCCTTATTCTTTCCAATTTCTTTTAATTCTTTGTATAAAATTCTGATATTTATAATATATCGACCATTATATAATAAATCTTTTTGTATTTAGATTGGATATATATCCTTAATTGTAATATGAATATTTGTAATTTATTTTGTTGAATGTTGTATATTCATTATAATAAATAAACACTTTCTTGTTTCAATTTCTACTTGTGATACTACTGATTAATTACCTAGGCAAAAAAATTGTCAAATAACTCTAATCAGAGTAGATGTTTCATATAAATTTTTATTATACAAAACAATGTCAAATTATATCTCATCATGTCAGGTTTTAAAGTTATTTTGAATTTTAAAACGATAAATTAGCGATTTATAGGGAGAAATATTGTAGACATTGAAGATGCGACCTCATCGATCACTTAGAGCGTTCTTCCTAAACACACCTAGTTAGCTCCGAAGGTCAGGTCCAGCTTGTCATGAGGGTGATTGTGTGTACTTTCAATTCGATCTCTTTTCGCTCCAACTTCGCCTTCATATGTCGGACAAATAGCGCACAATAGCACGTATGTATATTCGATTATCTCCCTTTCTGATATTGCCCACCAAGCTGCGTTTGGAAACCGTTATTCGAGTGGTGTATTGCTTAATCCTTGTTGTTCACCCAATGTTAAACAAGCATAAAATGATACACGGGGTCGCCCGAGTAACGTTTCCGAAAGCTGCCCAAGTCTAGGCAAAAATACTGCTCGCCCTGTCTTAAAGGGTCAGAGAATAGTTGAAGTAAATAAAAATCATAATAACATTATAAAGATATCACCACGTTATATATTTGTTACTTATAAGTAGGGCAAAATTATGCTGTAAAAATCCCTTTTTAAGTGCCTAAAATATGCTCTGTGAAATTGAAAAAATGCTTTAAGAAAGGCATATATCCCAAAATTATGCGGTAAAAATCCCTTTTTAAGCGCCTAAAATATGCTCTATGAAATTGAAAAAAATGCTCTAAAGAAAGAAATATATGCATTTAAAAATCACTTTTTTTATCGCACAAATTTCCAAATTATTAATTAAGTTTTTTACTTATAATAACAAAGTAAAATGAATTTGATAATTTAAACAAAATTTAATTAGTCTTACGGGACATTAAAATAAAACAAATACGTGGGGGGTTCAAATCAAACCGGGACTTTTATTCTCATGAACATAAGAATAAAAAAGTCCCGATTTGACTTGAAGCACCCATGTACGTATTATTTATTATAGTGACTCTAGAGAGAAAGAGAGTCTTTGATGTTATGTATTGTATAACACAAAAATATAGAAGATTGAACATAAAAGCGCGAAATCTTTTTCTCCTTGTGATTTCTCTGACATTACTGCGCACCAATGCATCACGGCGTGTGGGAATCATTTATCTAATCAATTCATTTTTCAAAAATATAAAATATGTTGTAGCATATTTCTGATTGAGAAAAACTTATCTTAGAAATACTATTTGTTATTATATCGGAAAAAAACTAATCATAAACTTAAATTAGAAAACGATGTGAAATATAGGGGAGACCGGGGTCAGTAAACTATAGGGGTAAGTAAAATAATCGAGGCTACGTTATAAACAAATCGCGCCAGACACGCGTAAACTCGTCTGAGCACGCAGCAGCGACTGCCGCTCAGTCTGCTGTAACATCTCGTTCCTAACACATCTATGATAGAAGTTACGCTACAATTTAAAAAAATCGTACACCTAAGTAAACATTTTTATTCTTAAAGTTTTTGTTTTACAATTGTATATAATTGTCTGAGATATTTTATTTCCATTTAGGTAGTAAGCATAGTTCTTACTTAATAAAGTCCAACAGATTTTTTTTGTTTATCTGGTTTTGTTGTCGTATACTGTTAATGTTTTTAAAAAATGAACGGATGGGGCTAATAGGCTAACCACAATACGAGGCTATATGATTAATTTAGTGACGACTCTGATAGTATCTACTCCCAAACTTCTTGAAATGAAATCTCGATACAAATTGATAGAAATCTTATCGTTCTCAATCATTCTCTATCAACTTTTTTTACCAGTAATAATAGTTAAATTACATGTATAAGAAATTTTTCATGCATATGTATAAATATGTATAAACATATATAATATGATAAATTATATACGTTTATGAACATTTATACATAAACATGTATAAATATTCATAAACATATATAATTATATATGAAACATATCCATATATGTTCATA